ATGTGAGCATTTTCTGTGGCCACCTGGGTCGAGACAGACGGCCCAAAAGCAAGGATCCTGCTCACCACAGCTGATTTAGCAGGTCTCCTCAGGAGGCAATGTTAGATCTTGAGAGTTAAGGTTTATTGTGCCAACCTGGCTGATAAACACATGTGGGATTAATTGAAGGGCAGAGATAGATGGCTCAGGGAGCCTCGCCTTTCTGGTTCTCTGGTCTCTTGTTCTGATAGTCGGACCAGTGTGCGGATGCCTTAGCTGGCAAGGCCCACTTCCTGCGAGACCTCCCTAAGAAGCCACATGGACCTACCCCGATGCAGCCCTAGGTGCAGGAGCAGCCGTGGAGACACCTGCCACCACTGACATGCTTACACCACCACTGAATTCAAACTTTCTACCCACTGACCTGTGACCCTACTACATTAGGCTTCATTGTGTTTTGAGTTTAAGTAGGGCTTTGTATATTGGTATGGGACATATGAGCCAAGTCGGATTTATGGGCTTGGACTAGACTGGGTTGGGATGCTTTCTGACTGTACACTTACCCTATATATAAAACTCTTATTCATATGAGTTTCTGTGGGTTGGTTTCTCTAGTTGACCCAGACTAACACAGGTGGGTTTACTGAAACATTCTCAGACCTGCCCCACAGTTCGAGTTTTCCTCTTGCCAATAAATTCTTCCACATCTCTTCTAGAAGCCAGACTACTGCATAGGGTACTTTCGCTTGGCACTTTGCTGTGAGGCTAACTGTTTTTCATCACAGCTATTAAGGACCTGTGAAATATGCTCTACCAAGCTCCAAAACCAAACTGGAGTCTCAGGGGAGAAGCAGAGCTGCCAAGCTGACCCGAGAGACAGGCAAGGACATGGCCAAGTGTCCCTGTCTTAACAGGAACAGCTACTTGAATCGGAGAGTAAACCCCGAAAGGTAAGCTGGTCCACACAGAACAAAAGGTAGCACCAATCCAAGTGTCCATCAACTGAGCCATGGACAGTCTAGGAAGGAAACGGACTCGAATAGCATACATCAGAAACAAAGGAATGAGCCACATGGATGAGTCTCAGGAATGAGCAGTCACAGAAGAGCACATGCTGTGATTCCACTTGAGAGGAATCTACATAGCCAGCATGATCGGTGGCTGGTTAGGGCTGGTGGAGATGTGTGAGGAGGTGGTAAAAATAAAAAGTCTAGTGTGTGGTGTTTCCTTTTGAAGGGATGAGGATATTCAAATAGTCATGATTGTACCTACATGCAAATATGTGAAAGTTCATTTAATTGTGCACCTTAACTGGGTAACAGGATTTGTGAATTCTGCGTAGAACAAAAAATCTTCAAAAGCATACATTTGTATTTCTAGATCCAAGCACACAAGAATCCACAAAGAAAACTGCTGCCTAGAAAATGAGAGCAAAAAGTGTAAAACACTTATGAATTTATTAAAAATAAATAAAATGAAAAACCACCAGATGTAATCACTGAAGACTATAAAACGAAGGACATATACCCCAAATCAGATGTACCACCGCAGAATACCTCAAGGGCAGTGGGGTTCTGGATAGAGTTCTGATGATGCAGTCATGAGAGGGAGAGCTGATAACAGCCACAGCACATCAGGCTGAGTACAGGAACCAGTAAGCCAACCTGTTGTTGCCAGGTCCACTCGACTCCTAAACCCTAGAGGGCAGGATAGAACATTCTCATAGGGTTTCCAAGGCTGTCAGTCTTGACCAAAGCAGACTGCCACCTTTCTCCTGCAGAGCCACTGGGGGGCTGGCACTGCCCTTTTGGTTAGCAGCCCAATGCTGAAGCACTGTGCCGGCACAGTATGGTTCCACTTCTCGGTGGTCTCCAGGGATAGGACATACACAGAGACCAAAAATGAAAAGCAGATGGGTGGGGACCAGGGGCTGAGGAGGCAGGAGGGAGTACCAAGGGTACACAGAGCTGCTTTCTGTGGTGATGAAAATGTGTTGAGCTGAACAGAGGTGGGAGTTGCAGTTTGAGGAATGGATTGATCACTGCTTTCATGAGCTGTTTCATGTGAAGTGAAAAATACACGGAGGGGTGAGAAAGATCTATGCAGCAAAACAAACAAAAATTTCAAAATGTGTAAAAACAAGCTGGAAGGACGGGGTAGCTGATCTCAACAGTCGCAACACAGCTGTCCTTGTCCTTGCCCAGTACTATCGCCTCTTCCTCCTGTTCTACCTGCCCACTGTGAAGGTGGGGCTTTAAAGGCAGGATTCTAGGATTCTGCCTACTAGCTTCTTTCCTGGCCATCTTGTCATGCATTGGGGTCTGGTGGCTCAAGGGTCCTACTTGGCTAAGCCTGGACTCATGGCTGTTGGACCTGCGTCCCTCTCCTGTTGACGGATACCCGGAAAGAAGCACACCACCCCAGAGACCTTCTACAGTGAAAACAGTACACACAGAAAGTGTAACTGAAATCGGATTCCAGTTCACTTCACACTCTCCTATGTGGCTGAGCAGGCCGAGGGTCAGCGGCCCCCGGGATGGAGCCCTCACCACCCTGGGAATGCCAGGACCTCTTGTGCCTGTACGCCCGATCCCGGCTCCGGCTCCTGTGACTCCGCCCTTCCGACCGACTGCTGGGCCAGCCAGGATGAGTGTCTGTGCTTCGGCCCTGGCCCTGGTCCCGGTCCCGATCCCGGTCCCATCTCCGGTCCCCATCCCGATCCCGGCTCTTGTCCTCTTTTCCTTCCCTCTTGCTGGAAGACTTAGGTTCGATCCTGGGCTTCTCCTTCCTCTCTGGGTCTGCTGCCCGTCGTCCGTCTGGAGAGCTGGGCTGCTGCTTCCGGCCCTCTCTGGCCTCTGCCGTGGGCGCCCTGTTGGAGCTCTTGCTGTAGTGCTTTTTCAAGCCTGGTTCCTCCGGTATCACCTTGATGCTGGGTGAGGAAGAGGAGGGCAGTGGCTCAGCCAGGACCTCCCGCTCAGGCCTCTCTTTGGCTTTCTTTCTTTTCTTTTTTTCCTTTTTGTCTAGAGAAGAGAGAAGCAAATGAGGCAAGTGAGAAAACAAAGAGCGGGCTCCTGTGAAATCACTGCTCCCATGCTGGGAGAGGGAAGATGCTCAAAGCAGCCTGCTGCTGGGGAGTGGATGCTCTGGGGGTGGGGGGGCGGGGCGCCAGGGAAGCTGGCCTCAGTAGGTCTCATGGCTGCAAGGCAGAGACCTCTGCTCTCCGTATCTATGGGGTGTAACTGGGTTGAGCGCGAAAATTCCCTTCCAGCTCTGTGCCTCAGACTCTAAATGTCACGGGCCCTATTCCTAGGTATGAAAGGCAGCTGACTCCAACATTTCTCTCAGCAGACAGACTAAATAACGTTGCTTCTTCCACCTCAGAAAGGGCATCGCATCTTGGCCTCAGACCCCAAGCAAGTCAGCTGCCAGAGTCCAGGTAACCGCTTCCCCAATGTGCCAGCGCTGGAAAGCGTCTCCACGCGCCCTCCTTGGGGGACTGGGCTCTCTCTAAGAGCACAAACTGCTGGCATGGCTGCTGCTTGCAGACAATGCCGGTGAGGATGAAGTGCTGAGCATTCGGACAGACAGCAACCAAGGCAGAGCCCAAGAGAACAGGAGTCTGCAGGGGACTCCAAACCCAAACCAAACTCACTGCCATCGCGTCCATGCGGACTCATAGTGACCCGCTGTGGGGTTCCCAGACTGTAACTGTTTCTGGGAGTAGAAAGCCAAG